CTATATCAATAACAGAAGGGAGTTTTTTGCACTTAACCCCTAAATTTATGGATCTCAAAAGGGGCATAGCGGCAATGAGAACAAGAAATAGCACACTAATGATGCAAAACTAACACAATCAACGAAAATCATTCTCAAATTCAAGTATGTGTCAGTTAAAAAATAAAAGAAAAAAAGAAATTGTGGTAGCATAAATCAATTACGGACCTGTTTTATTCATTCTATTTTAAATTATTTCTATAGTTAGATTTTAATTACTAGCTTGCACAATATATATTATTAATATTTTGGTGCCAAAAAAATATTATCAATATTTAATATTGTTACATCGAGTTTGTATTCTATATATGTAGTGAAATCTTCTTCCCTTGGTAGACAAATAATAATAATAATAATTTTTTTTAAACAAAAGAAGGAGGAGGAGAATATGTAATGAAAGATTATAGATAATAGTAATATAATACATGTACTTGTCAGTGAACTTAAGTAATAAATGGGTTCATGAAAGAGAAAAAGAATTTAGAAAGGGATTAAGAATTAGCCCTTCAAATATTGGAGTGAGACGAGAAACTAAAAAGATTATTTCATATTTAAGTGAATAAATATTTTATTTGAGAAAAATAATTATTTATTTATAAAGTTAGTAATAAAATGTCATTTCCTATTAGATTTAAAAAAAAAAAAAAAAAACTGAATTGAATTTGAGAAAAATAATTATTTATTTGGACTTTTTCTTTGCTTTTCCTTTTTACTGTTTAAATGGGCGGGTTTCATGGGTTAGTTTTTTAAATTTTTTTACAAATATACAAATTAAAAATAATAAAACAATAATAATAATAAAAATAAAAAGTTTAATTACAACAGGAAAAGGAAAAAGAACATTCGTTATGTTTCAAAACCACATCATCAGAATTTCATTTATTTTTAATATTAGTAGATCTAAAAAAATATTACAAACAAGCACTGATTAAAACAATACACAAACATTAAAAAATAAATAAATAAAAAAAATGAAAAAGAAAATTAGAAAAGTCAGAAATCTTCATCAAGCTGGAACGCATGGGAGTCTCCACCATTGACATTCAAACTATTCATCACAGAAGCCTTCTGATACTCTCCAACCCTCTTGTCAAAGAAATTAGTCTTCCCCTGAAGACTGATCAGCTCCATGTCTCCATCCAATCAAACGGTTTGTGAGCATTGTACATCTTGCCGCACCCTAGCGCACCCAACAGCCTATCAGCCACATACTCGATGTGCTGGTTCATTAGATACGCCAAATGTTCAAGGCTAATCCACATTACTTTAAGTCATTAACGAAGGGTGGGCTTACCTATGAGAGTAGTGGTAATATTTTATCACTCCATCTTATTTTTATTTTTTAATTTTCTCTAACAAGACTACCGCAATGTTTATGGGAGAGACTTGAATCCTATACCTTTCATCTTTAGACCAGATAATGCTAAACCGCAGGCCTTGATCACGCTATATCTAGAAAAGGTACAACAACAACACCATTTTGAAGTGTGTATTATCAAAGAATCTGAATTCCACCCTGACATACATAGTATTTCACCACTAACTAACATATGATGCATAGAAGATCATTTAGGTGTTTTTTCCTGCTGCTAAAATGTGTTAAAAAAAAAAAAAAAAAGCAATCTTATATAAAATCCTAAATGAAATAAATATAGTAAAATAGTCCAGGAGTGAAAATCCAATGTATTAAACAATAAAACTGAATACATGCATATAATAGTTCAACCATAGCTAGCTAAATAGGTTTCTAGCAACACTTAAGCAGAAAAGGAACAGGGTAAGCAAATTGAAGTCAATACAATTTAGCACAATTAACTATATACGAAGGGAAGTAATTAATGAAATGTCATATATATATATGTTCAAATTCTGTAACTCCACAAATGTTCTTGGCAATTGTAGGAGACAACCCAGTCATCGGATCGGATCACCATCTTCATATTTCAGAGATGAATATAATCAGAGTTTAGTCCCACCTGCAAACAACAGAGGTTGATTAGCCAGAAACAGAAAATGGACGCTATAAGTACTAATGAAGTAGTAATACCATATGGGCAGCAGCAACTCCCAATTAATATATATACTGCAAAGTATACTTGTGATGGAGCAAAACATTAGTCCATTTCCCATTTGCTAAAAATGAAAGAGTAATAATAAAAAAAATTGAAGGTTCACTTTTTTAACTGGAATTAACTAGATGTGAATTGATGAGCAGATTTTCGATGCGCTAGAGAATATTATAATAAAATAATGGTTCATTGTATCTGTTTTATTGGTAATAGATGGTTTCCTGACTTTGCTCATAACTTCAACTAGAATTAAAATATATTTAGTAGGGTAGTTGTGTAATTTTAAAATATAGTTATTGACTTGTGAAATTAGGGTTATAAATGTCATTTCTTTTTAAATGAGAGTGCAATTATATATTTTAAGGAAAGTAGTATAAGACTTTATTTTACCGACTACATAACTTAGGGGCTGTGGAATTAGTGATCGGGATAAATACCTACAAAAGAGTCGGTAACAAGAGTCCTTGTTGGACACTATTTGTTAGAGGAGCTACAAAAACTGATCGGTTTACTCATTTTTTAATTGTTTGGCTAAAAAAAAGGAAAAAAGAAAAAAAACTACATGTTCTAGTCATTATTGAAAGAATTTAGATGAACTCACATGGTCACATATATCCTATAAAATCAATTTGAAATTCTAAAAGCACGTCACAAGAGATTCCCACATGTACTTTTTCCAATCAGACGCACCTTGCATTCTAAAAGCACGTCACAAGAGTTACCTTCTTTACTGCTTTTAGCAGAAAGTATCCTCTTTTTGCTTCATCAGGATTTGTTTCATCATCATCATCGTCATCCACACTTGTTTATTCATCATCATCATCATCATCATCATCATCATCATCGTAATAATTGAAATAATCGAAACCATAATCATCACTTTCATCCACTGCTAGTCCCTGAATCAAACAGAAGTAGAAGGGGGTTATATGAAAAGCATTGGCAGTGTCATTTGTTGTGGTGATTCCTGGACAAAAGTTAAATGAAACTAGTGGAGATTGTTTACCACTACTATGCAGCAAAAATAATGCATAAATCATCTTTAACTAAAAAATTCATGACATTTTACAGTTACCTTTTCTCTCCGAACTAACTGCTGCACATAGTCAATAAGGTCGATAAAATCATTGCACTTGCGGCCTTCATAATCAATTACTAAATTATCAGGTGTGCTTAAGCATTCAGATGTGAAAGTCCGCAATTGGGGACATTTCCCCAGAGAAGCCTCGATCAAGGATGGGAATTTAAAAGCATTTTTTGTCCTACAAAAACATGTAAGGTTTGGTAGACGTCCCAGCAACAGAACATTTAGTCGAGTGAACTTAATTTCCTCCATGTCATCTTCTCGTTGTCCTTCACTTCTAACTATTTCTTCCATTACACTACATCCTCCAATCCCTAGCTTTCTGAGTTGTGTGAGACCTCTTGCCATTGAGAGTGAGAATACATACCTCAGGCTGTTGCATTTATAAAGTATCAAATATTTTAGGCTGTGAAACACAATAAGCCCCTGTGGGAATGCCTCGGGTGAAATTACATTCACTAGTTTCTTACATCCTTGAACAATAACAACCCATAGCTGCTTAAAGTAATCTTGTGCGCTCGAATTTAAGAATAATTGGTTGTCCCATATCACTGTGAGGCTTTGCAATTTTATAATTTTCAATTTCTCCAAAGTTGGGAACCTAACCTGCAAGATTCATTACATCCCATTTTATTTTAATTAGTGCGGAAAAAATTGCACAAGGTCAAACTAAAATACCCTACTAAATTAGACTTATTATTAGAATGTAATAGTTAAGTTAGATAAATGAGTGAAATTGGAGTTGAGAGATATACACTTAAATCAGTTTTGAAAGTTCAAGGCAATGTTTGGTTAGATTCAACTAAGCATTGATGAGTAATGTTATGTCAGTCTTTATTAGAAGTCAATGATGATGCTTTTGATGTCAAAAAAAATTGCTAGGCTAATTGAGAATAATATTAAACAATCAAAAGAATTTTAAGAATATCAATTGGGTTTCTGTTTTTAAAAGATGTAATAATTAATTAGAGTCATTCCATCCATCCCTTAATAAGTGCCCATTTTCTAATTCTGGGAAAGTCAATGAAAAAAGTTAGTTTTCTTAATATGTATATATATATATGAGTAATGATATTTGCACTGAATAGTTTGAAACAGAATTACTAGACCTACTGATTGGTTAATTAATGCCAAATATAAGAAGTGAGACTCTGAGACCTCCACTTTCTTATTTCATGCATTAATGACCAATCATATATATATATATATATATATATATATATTATTTAAATTTTGAAAACCTTCCTAAGTTTATAATGTGAGTTAATGCCTATGGGGAGCTAGTTTTAGAATTTTAAAAAAGGGAGAAGGATATTCGCAATCCACTTTTTTTTTTAATTCTTTTAAAAGAAATGACAAAAAAAATCTATAAACTCATTAATGCATCACCTCTTATTTTTTAAGATCATAACTACCATTTGTACTATAAATTTAACTCTTTTTTTACTTTCTTTACCTCTTGTATTATTATTATTATTATTTTTTTACAAAATATAATATTTATTTAACAAAACAAAATTAGAAATAAAATGATAATATTTTATGTCCAAAGCTCTTATTTAGGAATACGAAGTCAAATAGGCAAGGCCAGCTCTACTGTGTGTCCAAAAGGGCTCATGGTGCATTTGAGTCGAATACTCATTGGTACGGTGGTGCAAATTTACATGACTTCGGTTGGTGGATGTTGAAGTTAGCATTAAGTGAAAATATGGGTGAAATTTGAGATTTAATTAATGATTGTTAACCACAAATCAGACATTTCTTAATAGCTACTAAATTTTTTAAAATAGGAGTTTGGACACACGTACCTTGTGGTTGAAGAGGGCTTCTACTCTAGGAATGTTCAGCTCCACTGTTTCTTCTTCACCTTTTTTGGATCCGCGACTGCAGCAACAGAAACTTTTGAGGTTTGGCAATTTTTCAAGTCTCAAGTACTTCAATTGAGGGAAGACGATTATCTCATCATGCACTTTATTTTCTTCAACTTCTCCTAATTCTCCCCTTTCAATTGCAACAATCTGTTCCATTTTTTCACAGTTAAATATTTTTAATTTTTGAAGGTGCACAAGGTATCTCGCTGTGGATGGTGAGAATACATTTTCCAAATTGTCACGATTAGAAAGGTGAAGATCTTTTAGGTTTGAATACGCACAAATTCTGCCCGCTAAGTGTTCCTTTCTGTTCAACCTCATATACATCACCAAGTTAGGTAGACCCTCCAGAAGCATTTCTTGTAGCCGAGGAAGTACATTAATTGTTGGTTCAGCTATTCGAGACCCTTTTTCAACAGTTCCAAGCACTTCAACTTCAGAAAACAATGAATCACATCCATCAACTACGAGTTTTTCTAGATTTTGTAACCTTGGGAGCACATCGGAGGGAATCACATTCACCAGTTTGTTACATCTTTTGACCTCTATGCACTTTAAGACCCCGAAGGAATCTCCTCCTTCATTCACTAGGAGTGAATGTGATTGGTCATTCCATAGTGATGTAAGGCTTTCCAATTCTATAATGCTCAATTCTTCCAAAGCAGGGAATGCAACCTACAAATTAGAACATATTATATTTTGTAGTTTCAAAAATTCAAGAAACTCATCTTTGAAATGAGGGCCAGTATTAGAAAATTTTGCAACAAGATTGTATCTCTATCACAATTTTCTGCTCCTATCATTTTAAAGAGCCCAAAGAACGCATAACCACTTGTCTCTGTGGGGACTTGAACCTTCTACCTAAATTTTTGGAGGCAAGAAAGTATCACTAAGCTATAACTCTGATATTAAAATATGAGTTAAACAATGTCATTAAGTGTGTCTTTCCCAATATTTTCAACCAATGTACTGTTTTGAACCTCATGCAATTTTTTTTGTTTGTTTGTTTGTTAACAAGCACGGAGCCAGGATTTCAAGTGAGGGGGGGGGGGGCACACTGCCAAAAAAAAATAATAATAATACGGAGTACATATATATATATATATATATATATATATATATATATATATAACAACTATAAAATTTAAAAAGACAAAGAAGAAGAAAATTATTAAAATATAAAAGGAAAATAAAAATGAAAAAACTTTAATATCCATTTTAATATGCTATTTTATCTGAGATTAGAATATTTTTATTTGATCTAGATTCAACTTATATCCATTTTAAAATTGCAATTGAATATATAAATTTGAATAAACATAATAGGAAAATTTAGCTTAAGAAATTATGCTAATAAATGCACGTAGCATGGTGGTAATGTGATGCGCATTTATAAATATTTATACTATTATTAAAAGTACAAGGGTGTCAAGAATTTCAAATCATTGATTTATAAATTAGATAATAAAATAACTTACCAATTAAAATAATAATATTATTTTATTTAGGATTTTATCTATTCTAAGTACTAATTTGGTTTTCAATTTAGATTTCTGCCACAACATAATTTTAAAATCATTTATTTATAAATTAGATAATAAGATAATAAAATAAGTTACCATCTAAAATAATAATTCTATTTAAAGACAAATTATATTAAAGAGTTTCTATAAAACATGTTCCTTCTGTTTTCTTTTCAATGGACTTCTATGTATCAACATAATAAATTTAGACTTTCTTTCCGTAAATTATATATTTATTAATTAATATAAAAAAAAATCAAAGAGTTTCTAAAAAAACATGTTTCCCTTCGATTCTTTCCAATGTTACGTATCACCGTAAATTTAGATTTTCTTTCCAATAAACTCTTACGTATCACATTAAATTTGGAAAAAAGAATTGATACTCTTGATGAGTACAGGGTTTGGATCGTCAAATCATTGATTTATAAATTAGATAATAAAATAAGTTACCAATTAAAATAATAATCCTATTTTATCAATTAAGTACTAATTTCGTTATCAATTTATATTTCTACTACAAAATAAGTTAAAGAATTTAAAACCATTGATTTATAAATTAGATAATAAAATAAATTACCATTTAAAATAATAAGTTATATTAAAGAGTTTCTATAAAACATGTTTCCTTCTGTTTTCTTTTCAATAAAATTAAGATTTTCTTTCCATTAATTATATATTTATTAATTAATATAAAAATAATTAAAGAGTTTCTAAAAAACATTTTCCCTTCTATTTTCTTTTCAATTTATTTCTACGTATTACGGTAAATTTAGATTTTCTTTTCAATAAATTCCTACATATCACATAAAATTTGAATTAATGCTCTTACATGTTGATGAGTACAGGGTTTAGATTGAAGGGGTCAAACAAAAGAATAAGACCAGTTAATTCAAGAGAAACAATTGCATTGTTTTGCTTTTGGTTTGAGTGGCGAACTTTTTCAATCTTTTTATAATAAAAAATTTTCACGTGCGTTTTTTCTAGTTAAAATAAAATTTCTAAGAATATAAAAATGACTGGAATATCTCTAATTATATATACATATATATTTATACGTAGTGTGCAAACATGTATGCTTCATGTGTCTCAGAGTAGTTGCATATATATATTATAGACAAGTGTCTCCTGATTGAATATATGTGTGTGCGCATGAATATATATATATATATTATAGACAAGTGTCTCCTGATTGAATATACGTGTGTGCGCATGAATATATATATATATATATTATAGACAAGTGTCTCCTGATTGAATATATGTGTGTGCGCATGTGGTATAAAGACATAAAGCTCTTGTTGGCTGCTGCCCATCCAGATTTCACTCTCTTGTGGGCTCGTTGGTCCTCAAACAAACCAGCCCATCTCCATAGTCAGTGGGCTTTGAGAAGCAGTTCGAGTGACCTTGAGTGGGACACTTGGCCCACATGGCCTGTTTCTGCCATTGATTCTTATTGTCCTGTTTTGCCTTACTTTCTTGTTCTCTTTCCTTCTTGTTAGGAAAAAAAAAAAAAAAAAATTGGGTAAATTAAAAATATTGAACTTAAATTTTATTCGAGAATGTCATATTTTAGTCCAAGAAACTTCCTAATTTGATACTAATTAAAAAAAAATATTTTTTTTTAGAAGAAAATAAAGTGGCTAGTAAGTGTTGATGAGATGATATAATTTGTTGATAGGTAACAAGTTAATAACATACAAACCACTCTCACCCACCTATTAATTAAATGTGTGACCTTTCATGTGAGAGGGGGAAGAAGAAATAAGTTGTTTCATTTGCATTTTTTAGTTATATATTAATTATTAAAGAAGTGAAGTCATGTACCCACAATATTTTTGTTGTTTAAATACAATTACTTTACCATATTATAGACTTTGTTTTTTGAGTAAAAAAAAAAAAGATGATAGAGGAGAGAGGCCAATAGCTTTTGGTTGAAGAGAGCTTAATTAATATATAATCTTGGGAGTTAATTAATGACTCTGTGTTGGATGGTAATTGTATAGAAAAACTTAATAGAGAGTTATTTACATACCTTGTGGTTGAAGAGGGTTTCCACTCTGGGCAACTCTTTAAGTTCCAAATACTTCAATTGAGGGAAGACAATGATCTCATCATGCATTACATCTTCTTTTCCTAATTGTCCCCTTTCAACTACAACTATCTCTTCCACTGAATCGCATCTGTAGACTGCATTGGAGGCAATCACATTCACCAATTTATGACATTCCCATACTTTCATGGACCTTAGGCTTTGAAAGGAAATTTGTGCTTCCTTCACTTGGAGTGATTGGGATTGGCCTTCCCATATCGCTGTAAGGCTTTCTAATTGTCTAATCTCTAGTTCCTCCAGGGCAGGGAATGCAACCTGCAAAATTCATTACTATAATGTTACATTTGTAGCCAAGAATCCACCTATTCAGTTATTATTAGTAAATTTTGCAACAATTATATTTTTTTAGCTTAAGCTCTCTGTTTTTTTTTTTATAGGAAATGTATATAGATTAAGTTGCATAGCACAACCCATCCAAATCCAAATTTGGAGAAAGAAAATCCTTAGCCGTAAACACAAGCCATCAACTCTAAACCTGGAGTTAAAATAAATAACTAATAGATTTTTTTTAATGCATGAGTTTTTTTTTTTTTAATAAAACATATAATAAAATAGTACTCAACCGAAAATAAAAATTGGAGAGAAAAATAGTACCCTAACTTGAGTAGGAAGAAGAAAAGTAAGAAAAGAGGAGCTAAATTTTAACCTAAAAGATTTACACAGTTGAAAATGACATAGTAAGACGTATTTCTTCATCCATTTTTTCACTATTAAAAATTTAATGACTTTTCTAATTCTAGAAAAAAAAAAAAAAAAAAAAAAAAAAAAAAAAATTCTTCGCAATTTTGTGTTTGGGGAATATTTCCATATTAGAGAAATATGTAGATAAAAAGTCAATAAAACAAAAATAGTGTGGAGAGCTTCTTAATATGACATTTTATTTTTAATTAAATGTAAATTAATTTAAAAAATGCTTCTTGGGCCAATCCAACCAAAATAATGGAGGCATTCGAGTGGGACCATTGGGCCCACCTTTTCTGTTGGAATGGTGGGCTTGTAAGGCACAATTAGAGATGGGGTTTGGGCCCATTTGACGTTCAGAGTTTGAAGTCCACATTTTTATTTTTTGAATACCAATAAAAATAAAGTTTAGTAGAAAAGTGTAAAACATTTTTTTTGCTAATAAATGCAATTCTAATCTGATTGGTGTAAAAGCATGTACAAAGATTGAAAAGAATATAAAGCTAATGGAAGATTTAAATTTTTTTTTTTTTGGGTAAATAATGGAAGATCTAATTTTAGAAATTTTTGCAAAAACCTTCTTTGTGATGAGAAAATATACAATGTTCTCGGTGCATTGCGCAATCATGACATGTTTATATCTGTGCATGTTGTACGCACACTGTGCTTGTATAACACAAATGACAGACAGTGATGTGTTCAGTGCACGGTGCGCCGGGCACACCGAATACCTTCGTTTGTGATGTAAAATATATATATATATATTACTAAATTAAGTATTCAATAGATTAACGGCAAGTGGTAACTCTACATGAATTATATTTTTTTGTGATTAGTGTACATACTACATGGTGGTGGTGAGTCCAGTGACTGGCTTGCTGAGAAAACAATTACTAAACCTTGTTATATATTAGCTCATAAAATTTTATTTAAAAACGAGTGAAGAGTAAATTATTGCTTACGTCGACCAACAAATAAATAATTAATAATTCATATTTTATTATTTCTTTACTAAAATAAATAATTGAATATAAAGAGTATTCATATTACATAAATTTATTTATTTTATTAGCATTTGAAATTAGAAAGGTGTTTTGGTAAGTTAAATCATTTTTTGTTTTGTTCATACTATCCAAACTAGTAAAATAATATTTTCTCACAATTTTCTTCAAAAATATTCTTGCTAACCAAATAGATGATGGAAACTTGATTTTTTTTTTCTTTCACTATCACTTTTCATCAAAATATAATATTTATTTAACAAAACAAAATTAGAAATAAAATGATAATATTTTATGTCCAAAGCTCTTATTTAGGAATACGAAGTCAAATAGGCAAGGCCAGCTCTACTGTGTGTCCAAAAGGGCTCATGGTGCATTTGAGTCGAATACTCATTGGTACGGTGGTGCAAATTTACATGACTTCGGCAGGTGGATGTTGAAGTTAGCATTAAGTGAAAATATGGGTGAAATTTGAGATTTAATTAATGATTGTTGAAGTTAGCATTAAGTGAAAATATGGGTGAAATTTGAGATTTAATTAATGATTGTTAACCACAAATCAGACATTTCTTAATAGCTACTAAACTTTTTAAAATAGGAGTTTGGACACACGTACCTTGTGGTTGAAGAGGGCTTCTACTCTAGGAATATTTAGCTCCACTGTTTCTTCTTCACCTTTTTTGGATCCGCGACTGCAGCAACATAAACTTTTGAGGTTTGGCAATTTTTCAAGTCTCAAGTACTTCAATTGAGGGAAGACGATTATCTCATCATGCACTTTATTTTCTCCAACTTCTCCCCTTTCAATTGCAACAATCTGTTCCATTTTTTCACAGTTAAATATTTTTAATTTTTGAAGGTGCACAAGGTATCTCGCTGTAGATGGTGAGAATACATTTTCCAAATTGTCACGATTAGAAAGGTGAAGATCTATTAGGTTTGAATACGCACAAATTCTGCCCGCAAAGTGTTCCTTTCTGTTCAACCTTATATACATTACCAAGTTAGGTAGACCCTCCAGAAGCATTTCTTGCAGCCGAGGAAGTACATTAATTGTTGGTTCAGCTATTGGAGACCCTTTTTCAACAGTACCAAGCACTTCAACTTCAGAAAACAATGAATCACATTCCTCAACTTTGAGTTGTTTTAAGTTCTGTAACATTAGGGGCATATTGGAGGGAATCACATTCACCAGTTTCTTATTTCTAAGGACAATCATGTCGGTTAGGCACCGAAAGAAATCGTCAGCCTCCTTCACTTGCTCTAGTGGTTGCGATTGGTCAACCCATATTGCTCTAAGGCTTTGTAGTTTTTCAATAGTCAGTTTCTCCAAGGCAGGTAATGAAACCTGCAAATTTCATTTTATATATTATATTTTGTGATCAAGAATCCAACACTTCTGGGCATATTATTAGTATATTTTATTGTAAGATTCCATTCCTACTATTTTAAAATGATAATTATCAACACTGCATGAGAATTTAGCTAGAGTGCATTCTTGTGGTGTGATATTTGTCAAACAAACTAAACACGTTCACAAATCAAATGTATTTTAAGAATAAAAATTATTTACTTCTTACTTTTTAAGATAAGTAATTATTACTGAGGTTCATTAAGGTTATTCATTGCTTGAACATAATATATTAAAATTTCATTAAAGCAAAAGAATAAGTGCAAAAATTTTAAAATTGATTGATATTGTCAAAACATTTATGCTTATTGTCAGACAAGTATTTATTTTCTGAAAAGAGATTTTTTTTATCACTATCTAGAACTTGAATCCTCAACTTTCACTTTGGATGGCAAAGAAATACCACTAGATTATAGCTTTGGTGTTAAAAGGGTGAGATTGTTAATGTCATCAAGTTTTTCAAGGAAATTTAGCCTGCAAAATATCAGTTTCCACGTGATGATACCAAATAACTCAACAAGTATATCTTAGTCATTAGAAGGAACATAAAAGGAGGGGAAAAAGGCATAGCTTCCCTTGAAAATCTTAACCGCAAACACAATCCATCAACTCTAAATATGGAGTGAAAATAAATAATTAATAGATTTTTAATTGCATAATTTTTTTTAAAATAAAACATATAGTAATAGTACTAAGGAAAATAAAAAAGCGGAGAGAAAAATAGTACCCTAACGGAAAAAGAAAAGAGAAGAGGAGCTAAATTTTAACCTTAAAGGCTTAGACAGTTGAAAAGAACACCGTTGAAATGTGCTTCTTCATCCCTTTTTTCGCTAGAGAAAAATTAATGAATTTTTTAATTCTGGCAAAAGACAAGTTTGTTATTTTGACAATAGAGTGGGGAGAATATTTCCATATTAAAAAATAGTGTGGAGCAACTGCTTCTTAATACTATATTTTTCAATTAAATGTAAATTAATTTAAAAAATGCTTCTTGGGCCAACCATTGCAATCAAAATAATGGGATGGCATTCAAGTAGGACCATTGGGCCCATCATTTCTGTTGGAATGGGTGGGCTTGTAAAGCAAACTACCCATTCAATTAATATTGCAATTAAATATAGAAATTTGAATAAGAGTTGTGATCTGAAGCTGTAATTTTAAAGAATAATAGATGGGGTTTGGGCCCATTAGTTTGAAGTTCAAATCTTTATTTTTTGTATAAAGATAAAAGTACAGAAAAGTATAAAAGTATAAAAGTGGATAACTTTTGCTAATAAATGCATGTTAACACGTTGGGATAAAATGAGTGCACAAGAAGAAGTTTTACTTTCCAAAATAAGCGTAGAGCCATGTAAGCAAACAATTGCTGATGTGGCTCTACACTTTAGTTAAAGTGTAAAATAAAAGCATACCTCTGCGCTGGGGTTGCTCGTGAGATGGTTCTAATATGATAAGTATAAAGCATATACAAAGATTGAAAAGAATATAAAAGTTAATGAAAAATTTCTAATTTAATATATATATATATATATATATATATATATATATACTTGTTAGAAATGCGGTCTGGTGTGTTTGCATGACAATATTGACATGTTTGTATTTAATAGAATAACATGGGTAACCTTATCGAAAAAAAATAATAATATATTAATATGATGTTGTTAATATACAATTAAGGTTACAATAGAATTAGCAAGCTTGGGGGAGAAATTTTTGCAAAAACCTTTTTTGTGATGAAAAAATATATAATATTTTCGGTGCACTAGGCAATCATAACCGTTTATATCTATGCGTGTTGTAAACTCACCGTGCTTGTACAACACGAACGACAGTGATGTGCTCAATGTACCGGGTACAACGAATACTTACTCCTTTGTGATGCAAAAAAATTATATATATATATTAATAAATTAAGTATTCAATAGATTGATGACAAGTGGTAACTCTATATGAATTATATTTTTTTTGTGATTAGTATACATGGTGGTGGTGAGTCCTGACAGGCTTGCTAAGAAAACAATTACTAAACCTTGTTATATATTAGCTCATAAAATTTTATATAAAAACGAGTGAAGAGTACGTTATTGTTTGTCGACCAACAAATAAAAATAAAAATAAAAAATAAGAAATAATTAATTAATTAATAATTCATATTTTATTATTTCTTTACTAAAATAAATCTTTGAATATAAAGAGTATTCATATAACATAAATTGATTTTTTTTATTAGCATTTGAAATTAGAAAGGTGTTTTGATAAGTTTAGTCACTTTCTGGTTTTTTTTTTTTTTTTTTTTATTTTTTTTTTTTTTTTATGTTATCCAAACTAGTAAAATAATATTTTCTCACAATTTTCTTCAAAAATATTCTTGCTAACCAAATAGATGATGGTACTTTCACTACCACTTTTCATCATAATTTTCCATCTAACCAAATGAACCTTAGAAAAACTTAATACATTTAATTTTTACAATTAGTCCTCAAGCTTTGTGGTGGGCATAAAAGGTAAAATTGTAGAAGGAATAAAAAGTATTTATAGGTAAGCATGCATAAAAGTAGAAAATGCACGATAATTTTTCATTCACATTGTTTTTCTTCTTCTTCTTTTCATTTTTTGATAATTTTTGATTCACATAAATTCAGACTTTCTTTCCATAAATTATATATTTATTAATTAATATAAAAAAAATTAAAGAGTTTCTAAAAAAACATGTTTCCTTCTATTCTTTCCAGTGTACTTCTACGTATCACATTAAATTTGGAAAAAGAATTAATACTCTTACATGTTGATGAGTACAGGGTTTGGATCGTAAAATCCTTGATATATAAATTAGATAATAAGATAATAAAATAAGTTACCAATTAAAATAATAATCCTATTTTACCAATTAACTATTAAGTACTAATTTGGATATCAATTTATATTTCTACTACAAAATTAGTTAAAGAATTTAAAACCATTGATTTATAAATTAGATAATAAAATAATAAAATAAATTACCATTTAAAATAATAAATTATATTAAAGAGTTTCTATAAAACATGTTTCCTTCTGTTTTCTTTTCAATAAAATTTAGATTTTCTTTCCATTAATTATATATTTATTAATTATTATAAAAAATATTAAAGAGTTTCTATTAAACATTTTCCCTTCTATTTTCTTTTCAATTTACTTCTACGTATTACGGTAAATTTAGATTTTCTTTTCAGTAAACTCCTACATATCACATAAAATTTGAATTAATGCTTTTACATGTCGATGAGTACAGGGTTTAGATCGAAGGGGTCAAACAAAAGAATAAGACCAGTTAATCAAGAGAAACAATTGCATTGTTTTGCTTTTTGTTTGAGTGGCAAACTTTTTCAATCTTTTTATAATAAAAAATTTTCACGTGCTTATTTCCTAGTTAAAATAAAACTTCTAGGAATATAAAAATGATTGGAGTATCTCTAATTATACATAGATATATAATACGTAGTGTGCAAACATGTATGCTTCTTGTGTCTGAGAGTGGTTGCATATATATATATATATATATATATATATATATATATTATAGACAAGTGTCGCCTGATTGAATATGTGTGCATGTGGTATGAAGACATAAAGCTCTTGTTGGCGACCCATCCAGATTTCACTCTCTTGTGGGCTCGATCCACAAACAAACCAGCCCATCTCCATAGTCAAATGGGCTTTGAGGAGCAGTTCTAGTGACCTTGAGTGGGACACTTGGCCCATATGGCCTATTTCTGCCATTGATTCTTATTTTCCTGTTTTGCCTTTACTTTCTTGTTCTCTTTCCTTCTTGTTAGGAAAGGAAAGAAAAAAATAAATAAATAAATGGGTAAATTAAAAATATTGAACTTAAATTTTATTCGAGAATGTCATATTTTAGTCCAAGAAACTTCCTAATTTGATACTAATTAAAAATATATATATTTTTTAAGAAGAAAATAAAGTGGCTAGTAAGTGTTGATGAGATAATATAATTTGTTGATTGGTAACAAGTTAATAACATACAAACCATTCCCACCCAACTATTAATTAAATGTGCGACCTTTCATGTGGGAGGAGGAAGAAGAAATAAGTTGTTTCATTTGCATTTGTTAGTCAGTAAGTCTTATATATTAATTATTAAAGAATTTGAAGTCATGTACCCACAATATTATTGTTGCTTAAATACAATTACTTTACCACATTAGAGACTTTGTTTTTTGAGTAAAAAAAAATGAAAAGAAAAAGATGATAGAGGAGAGAGGCCAATAGCTTGTGGTTGAAGAGAGATTAATTAATATATAATCTTGGGAGTTAATTAATGACTCTATGGTAATTGTATAGAAAAGCTTAATAGATCTATATACATACCTTGTGGTTGAAGACAATGATCTCATCCACTGAATCACATCTGTAGACTTCATTGGAGGCGATCACATTCACCAATTTATCACATCCCCATACTGTCATGAACCTTAGGCTTTGAAAGGAAACTTGTGCTTCCTTCACTAGGAGTGATTGGTATTGGCCTTCCCATATTGCTGCAAGGCTTTTCAAATTTTCAATCTTTAGTTCCTCCAAGGCAGGGAATGCAACCTGCAAAATTCATTACTATAATGTTACATTTGTAGCCAAGAATCCACCTATTCAGTTATTATTAGTAAATTTTGCAACATTTGGCTCCTACTATTTTAAAATGAAAATTATGAACGCTGCATGAGAAGTAAACTATAGTTATTTTTTTCTTTTTTCCCTAATTTGTTTTCCAGTAAATCTCAGGAAAAAAAGTATTTTAAGAAACCAAATGGTTTTCTTACTATTTTTCAAACAAATGAAGCACAATCAGCTATTCTTGGGCTGTTTTCTCATTTAGGAGCGGAAGGAGCCTATTGGAATTATAAAAAAAAAACCCACATGGCTTATTTCTGCCATGTGATTTTTATTTGATCCTCAAACAAACCAGCCCATCTCCTTAGTCAATGGGCTTTGAGGAACAGGACTAGTGACCTTGAGTGGGACACTTGGCCCACATGGCTTATTTCTGCCATTGATTTTTATTTTCCTGTTTTGTCTTGCGTTCTTGTTCTCTTTGCTTCTTGTCAAGTGTAACAGAGGCCGTTTTTTTTCTTGGAAATAAACTCACACACCAAGGTACTCCTACGGGGACTTGAACCCTCCATGATTCTATTTGGAATGTGAAGAAATACCATTAGACTATACAACCCTTGGTAAGTGTAATAAAATTTGTTTTTAACTTGTTAAAAAAAATTGTAGGTACCAAAGCATAAAAGTAATCTATTCTAATTTATTTCAACAAAATAATAATTATAATAATAATAATAAAACAGAATACTAATGTTTTAAGAAAAAAAATAGGATCCTGATTTTAATTAAAATTGTACAAAAAAAAAGTATATTAAGATATTAAAATTAACTATATATTCAATTCACATCTACAAATTGTCAAATTAGACATGCAAAATGCTTATATTATTTCCCAGCTCAAAACCAAGAACAGGAAATCAAATTTTATTCGAGAATGTCGTTTTTTAGTCCAACAAAAATTTTTTTTTTTTTTTTTAATTTTTTTTTTTAAAAAAGAAAACAAAGTGGCTAGTAGGTGTTGATGCGATGATATAATTTATTGATAGGTAATAAGTTAATAACAGACAAACCAATCCCACCCACCTATTAATTAAATGTGCGCCCTTTCATGTGAGATGAGGAAGAAGAAATAAGTTGTTTCATTTGCATTTTTTAGTCAAAAAGTCTTATATATTAATTATTAAAGAAGTGAAGTCATGTACCCACAATATTATTTTGCTTAAATACAATTACTTTACCGCATTAGAGACTTTGTTTTTCAAGTCATGTAACCATAATATTATTGTGGTTTAGGGTGTACTATTTCCTATTGGTGAGTGACCCTAAAAAATAATAATAATAAAAAAATAAAAAAAAGGTTAATTTAGAAAATATTTTACGGACAGTTGTCAAAAATCAAAAAATAAAAATAAAGAAAATCCTTAGCCGTAAACACAAGCCATCAACTCTAAACCTGGAGTTAAAATAAATAACTAATAGATTTTTTTAATGCATGAGTTTTTTTTTTAATAAAACATATAATAAAATAGTACTCTACCGAAAATAAAAATTGGAGAGAAAAATAGTACCCTAACTTGAGTAGGAAGAAGAAAAGTAAGAAAAGAGGAGCTAAATTTTAAAATCATTTATTTATAAATTAGATAATAAAATAATAAAATAAGTTACCATCTAAAAAAATAATTCTATTTAAAGACAAATTATATTAAAGAGTTTCTATAAAACATGTTCCTTCTGTTTTCTTTTCAATGGTACTTCTATGTATCAACATAAATTTAGAATTTCTTTCCGTAAATTATATATTTATTAATTAATATAAAAAATATTAAAGAGTTTCTAAAAAAACATGTTTCCTTCTATTCTTTCCAATGTTACGTATCACCGTAAATTTAGATTTTCTTTCCAATAAACTCTTACGTATCACATTAAATTTGGAAAAAGAATTAATACTCTTGATGAGTACAGGGTTTGGATCGTCAAATCATTGATTTATAAATTAGATAATGAAATAAGTTACCACTTAAAATAATAATCCTATTTTATCAATTAAGTACTAATTTGGTTATCAATTTATATTTCTACTATCAATTTATATCAATTTACTTTACCGTATTTTATTTTTGTTGTTTAAATACAATTACTTTACCGTATTATAGACTTTGTTTTTTGTGTAAAAAAAAAAGAAAAGAAAAAAAAAAAAAGATGATAGAGGAGAGAGGCCAATAGCTTTTGGTTGAAGAGAACTTAATTAATATACAATCTTGGGAGTTAATTAATGACTTTGTGTTGGATGGTAATTGTATAGAAAAACTTAATAAAGAGCTATTTACATACCTTGTGGTTGAAGAGAGCTTCCACTCTGGGAATGATTTGATCCATTGTTTCTCCTTCTTCTTTGGATTCATGAGTGAAACTTGTGAGGTTTGGCAAGCCTATAAGTTTCAAATACTTCAATTGAGGGAAGACAATGATCTCATCATGCACTACATCTTCTTCTCCTAATTGTCCCCTTTCAACTGCAACTATCTCTTCCACTGAATCACATCTGTAAACTGCATTGGAGGCAATCACATTCACCAATTTATCACAATTCCATACGTCCATGGACCTTAGGCTTTGAAAGGAAACTTGTGCTTCCTTCACTATGAGTGATTGGGATTGGCCTTCCCATATCGCTGTAAGGCTTTTCAAATTTTCAATCTTTAGTTCCTCCAAAGCAGGGAATGCAACCTGCAAAATTCATTACTATAATGTTACATTTGTAGCCAAGAATCCACCTATTCAGTTATTATTAGTAAATTTTGCAACATTTGGCTCCTACTATTTTAAAATGAAAATTTTGAACGCTGCATGAGAAGTAAAGTATAGTTATTTTTTTCTTTTTTCCCTAATTTGTTTTCCAGTAAATCTCAGGGAAAAAAGTATTTTAAGAAACCAAATGGTTTTCTTACTATTTTTCAAACAAATGAAGCACAATCAGCTATTCTTGGGCTGTTTTCTCATTTAGGAGCGGAAGGAGCCTATTGGAATTAAAAAAAAAAACCCAAGTAATACTAAATGTGTGACCTATTCATGTGAGAGGGGGAAGAAGAAATAAGTTGTTTCATTTGCATTTTTTAGTTATATATTAATTATTAAAGAAGTGAAGTCATGTACCCACAATATTTTTGTTGTTTAAATACAATTACTTTACCATATTATAGACTTTGTTTTTTGAGTAAAAAAAAAAAAGATGATAGAGGAGAGAGGCCAATAGATTTTGGTTGAAGAGAGCTTAATTAATATATAATCTTGGGAGTTAATTAATGACTCTGTGTTGGATGGTAATTGTATAGAAAAACTTAATAAAGAGCTATTTACATACCTTGTGGTTGAAGAGAGCTTCCACTCTGGGAATGATTTGATCCATTGTTTCTCCTTCTTCTTTGGATTCATGAGTGAAACTTGTGAGGTTTGGCAAGCCTATAAGTTTCAAATACTTCAATTGAGGGAAGACAATGATCTCATCATGCACTACATCTTCTTCTCCTAATTGTCCCCTTTCAACTGCAACTATCTCTTCCACTGAATCACATCTGTAAACTGCATTGGAGGCAATCACATTCACCAATTTATCACAATTCCATACGTCCATGGACCTTAGGCTTTGAAAGGAAACTTGTGCTTCCTTCACTATGAGTGATTGGGATTGGCCTTCCCATATCGCTGTAAGGCTTTCCAATCTGCCAATATTTAGTACCTCCAAGACAGGAAATGCAACCTGCAAAATTCATTACAATAATGTTACATTTGTAGCCAAGAATCCACCTATTCAGTTATTATTAGTAAATTTTGCAACATTTGGCTCCTACTATTTTAAAATGAAAATTATGAACGCTGCATGAGAAGTCAACTATAGTTATTTTTTTCTTTTTTCCCTAATTTGTTTTCCAGTAAAAACTAGTGTACTCTTGGGAAAAAAAGTATTTTAAGAAACTAAATGGTTTTATTACTATTTTTCAAACAAATGAAGCACAATCCAGCTATTCTTGGGCTGCTTTCTCATTTAGAAGCGGAAGGAGCCTATTGGAATTAAAAAACCCAAGTAATTCTTTGCTTCTGCTATGACTATTCTCTTATTTTTGAGTTAGATTTAGAAAGAAATTATGCTCTGTTTTTGTAATATCCATTTTAATATGCTATTTTAATCTGAGATTAGAATATTTTTTTTTGATATAGATTAAACTTATATCCATTTTAAAATTGCAATTGAATATATAAATTTGAATAAACATAATAGGATAAGTTAATTTATGAAATTATGCTAATAAATGCATGGTAGTAATGTGATGCGCATCTATAAATATTAAAATAAAACTTCTATCTTATATTAAAATAAAACTGGTTTCCAGTAAAAACAAGTGGTCTTGTTATCTTATATTTTTCAAACAAATGAAGCACAATCACATAGGTTTATTATTATTATTCAAACAAATGAAGCACAATCCAGCTCTTCTTGGGCTGCTTTCTCATTTAGGAGCCTACTAGTCTTTGGAATTAAAAAAACCCAAGTAAAATTTTGATTCTTAATTACATTTAGAGAGAAATTATGCTCTGTTTTTGGAATATCCATTTTAATATGCTATTTTATCTGAGATTAGAATATTTTTATTTGATCTAGATTCAACTTATATCCATTTTAAAATTGCAATTGAATATACAAATTTGAATAAACATAATAGGAAAATTTAGCTTAAGAAATTATGCTAATAAATGCACGTGGCATGGTAGTAATGTGATGCGCATTTATAAATATTTATACTATTATTAAAAGTACAAGGGTGTCAAGAATTTCAAATCATTGATTTATAAATTCAATAATAAAATAACTTACCAATTAAAACAATAATATTATTTTATTTAGGATTTTATCTGTGCTAAGTACTAATTTGGTTTTCAATTTAGATTTCTACCACAACATAAGTTAAAAATTTTAAAATCATTTATTTATAAATTAGATAATAAAATAATAAAATAAGTTACCATCTAAAATAATAATTCTATTTAAAGACAAATTATATTAAAGAGTTTCTATAAAACATGTTCCTTCTGTTTTCTTTTCAATGGTACTTCTATGTATCAACATAAATTTAGACTTTCTTTCCGTAAATTATGTATTTATTAATTAATATAAAAAATATTAAAAAGTTTCTAAACAAACATGTTTCCTTCTATTCTTTCCAATGTTACGTATCACCGTAAATTTAGATTTTCTTTCCAATAAACTCTTACGTATCACCGTAAATTTAGATTTTCTTTCCAATAAACTCTTACGTATCACATTAAATTTGAAAAAAGAATTAATACTCTTGATGAGTACAGTTTGGATCGTCAAATCATTGATTTATGAATTAGATAATAAAATAATAAAATAAGTTACAAATTAAAATAATAATCCTATTTTATCAATTAAGCACTAATTTGGTTATCAATTTATATTTCTACTACAAAATAGGTTAAAGAATTTAAAACCATTGATTTATAAATTAGATAATAAAATAATAAAATAAATTACCATTTAAAATAATAAATTATATTAAAGAGTTTCTATAAGACATGTTTCCTTCTGTTTTCTTTTCAATAAAATTTAGATTTTCTTTCCATTAATTATATATTTATTAATTAATATAAAAATAATTAAAGATTTTCTAAAAAACATTTTCCCTTCTATTTTCTTGTCAATTTACTTCTACGTATTACGGTAAATTTAGATTTTCTTTTCAATAAACTCCTACATATCACATAAAATTTGAATTAATGCTCTTACATGTTGATGAGTACAGGGTTTAGATGGAAGGGGTCAAACAAAAGAATAAGACCAGTTAATTCAAGAGAAACAATTGCATTGTTTTGCTTTTGGTTTGAGTGGCGAACTTTTTCAATCTTTTTATAATAAAAAATTTTCACGTGCGTTTTTTCTAGTTAAAATAAAATTTCTAAGAATATAAAAATGACTGGAATATCTCTAATTATATATACATATATAATTATACGTAGTGTGCAAACATGTATGCTTCATGTGTCTGAGAGTAGTTGCATATATATATATATTATTATATATATATAATAGACAAGTGTCTCCTGAATGAATACGTGTGCGTGTGCGTGTGGTATAAAGACATAAAGCTCTTGTTGGCTGCTGCCCACGCAGATTTTACTCTCTTGTGGGCTCGTTGATCCTCAAACAAACCAGCCCATCTCCATAGTCAATGGGCTTCGAGGAGCAGTTCGAGTGACCTTGAGTGGGACAATTGGCCCACATGACCTGTTTCTGCCATTGATTCTTATTTTCCCGTTTTGCCTTACTTTCTTGTTCTCTTTCCTTCTAGTTAGGAAAAAAAAAAAAAAAATTGGTTAAATTAAAAATATGGAACTTAAATTTTATTCGAGAATGTCATATTTAGTCCAAGAAACTTCCTAATTTGATACTAATTAAAAAATATATATTTTCTTAAGAAGAAAATAAAGTGGCTAGTAAGTGTTGATGAGATGATATAATTTGTTGATGGGTAAGAAGTTAATAACATACAAACCACTCTCACCCACCTATTAACTAAATGTGTGACCTTCCATGTGAGAGGGGGAAGAAGAAATAAGTTGTTTCATTTGCATTTTTTAGTTATATATTAATTATTAAAGAAGTGAAGTCATGTACCCACAATATTTTTGTTGTTTAAATACAATTACTTTACCGTAAAAAAAAAAAAGAAAAGAAAAGAAAAGAAAAAGAAAAAGATGATAGAGGAGAGAGGCCAATTGCTTTTGGTTGAAGAGAGCTTAATTAATATATAATCTTGGGAGTTAATTAATGACTCTGTGTTGGATGGTAATTGTATAGAAAAACTTAATAGAGAGCTATTTACATACCTTGTGGTTGAAGAGAGCTTCCACTCTGGGAATGATTTGATCCACTGTTTCTTCTAATTCTTTGGATCCAAGAGTGAAACTTTTGAGGTTTGGCAAGTCTTCAAGTCTCAAATTCTTCAATTGAGGGAAGACAATGATCTCATCATGCACTACATCTTCTTCTCTTAATTGTCCCATTTTAACTGCAACTATCTCTTCCACTGAAGCACATGAACCAACATTAAGTTTTTCTAGCTTCTTTAAGCTTGGGAGCACATTGGAGGCAATCACATTCACCAATTTATGACATTCCCATACGTCCAAGGACCTTAGGCTTTGAAAGGAAACTTGTGCTTCCTTCACTAGGAGTGATTGGGATTGGCCTTCCCATATCGCTGTAAGGCTTTCTAATTCTCTAATATATAGTTCCTCCGGGGCAGGGAATGCAACCTGCAAAATTCATTACTATAATGTTACATTTGTAGCCAAGAATCCACCTATTCAGTTATTATTAGTAAATTTTGCAACAATTATATTTTCTGTTTTCTTCATACTATCCAAACTAGCAAAATAATATTTTCTCACAATTTTCTTCAAAAATATTCTTGCTAACCAAATAGATGATGGAAACTTGATTTTTTTTTTCTTTCACTATCACTTTTCATCATAATTTTTCATCTAAACAAACGAACCTTGGAAAAACTTAATACATCGGGGGCATAAAAGGTAAAATTGTAGAATGAATAAAAAGTATTTATAGGTAAGCATGCATAAAAATAGAAAAGGCACGATAATTTTTCATTCACATCGTTTTTCTTCTTCTTCTTTTCATTTTTTGATAAGTAATTATAGTCCCAGTGGAAATTTAATTAAATGGGCAACTTTTCATGTGGGATGAGGAAGAGGAAATAAGTTGTTTCATTTACATTTTTTAGTCAGTAAATCTTATACATTAATTATTAAAGAAGTGACGTCATGGGAGTTAATGAATCTATGTACATACCTTGTGGTTGAAGAGGGTTTCCACTCTGGGCAACTCTTCAAGTTCCAAATACTTCAATTGAGGGAAGACAATGATCTCGTCATGCACTCCATCTTTTTCTCCTAATTGTCCCCTTTCAACTGCAAATATCTCTTTCACTGAATCACATTTGGAGACTTTAAGTTTTTCTAGCTTTTGTAAGCTTGGGAGCACATTGGAGGCAATCACATTCACCAATTTATCACAATTCCATACGTCCATGGACCTTAGGCTTTGAAAGGAAACTTGTGCTTCCTTCACTATGAGTGATTGGGATTGGCCTTCCCATATCGCTGTAAGGCTTTTCAAATTTTCAATCTTTAGTTCCTCCAAAGCAGGGAATGCAACCTGCAAAATTCATTACTATAATGTTACATTTGTAGCCAAGAATCCACCTATTCAGTTATTATTAGTAAATTTTGCAACATTTGGCTCCTACTATTTTAAAATGAAAATTTTGAACGCTGCATGAGAAGTAAAGTATAGTTATTTTTTTCTTTTTTCCCTAATTTGTTTTCCAGTAAATCTCAGGGAAAAAAGTATTTTAAGAAACCAAATGGTTTTCTTACTATTTTTCAAACAAATGAAGCACAATCAGCTATTCTTGGGCTGTTTTCTCATTTAGGAGCGGAAGGAGCCTATTGGAATTAAAAAAAAAAACCCAAGTAATACTTTGCTTCTGCTATATGACTATTTTCTTATTTTTGAGTTAGATTTAGAAAGAAATTATGCTCTGTTTTTGTAATATTCATTTTAATATGCTATTTTATCTGAGATTAGAATATTTTTATTTGATATAGATTAAGCTTATATCCATTTTATAATTGCAATTGAATATATAAATATGAATAAACATAATAGGATAAGTTAATTTACGAAATTATGCTAATAAATGCATGGTAGTAATGTGATGTGCATCTATAAATATTAAAATAAAACTTCTAAGAATATAAAAATTACTGGAATATCTCTAATTATATATACATATATAATTATACATGCATGCTTCATGTCTGTCTGAGAGTGGTTGCATATATATATATATATATAGACAAGTGTCTCCTGATTGACTATGGGTGCATGTGGTACGAAGACATAAAGCTCTTGTTGACGGCCCATCCAGATTTCACTCTCTCGTGGGCTCCTTGATCCTCAAACAAACCAGCCCATCTCCTTAGTCAATGGGCTTTGAGGAACAGGTCTAGTGACCTTGAGTGGGACACTTGGCCCACATGGCTTATTTCTGCCATTGATTTTTATTTTCCTGCTTTGTCTTGCGTTCTTGTTCTCTTTGCTTCTTGTCAAGTGTAACAGAGTGTTTTTCGTTTTTTTTTTTTTTTGGGAAATAAACTCACACACCAAGGTACTCCTACAGGGACTTGAACCCTCCATGATTCTATTTAGAATGTGAGGAAGTACCATTAGACTATACAACCCTTGGTAAATGTAATAAAATTTGTTTTTAACTTGTTAAAAAAAATTGTAGGTACCAAAGCATAAAAGTAATCTATTCTAATTTATTTCAACAAAATAATAATTATAATAATAATAATAAAACAGAATACTAATGTTTTAAGAAAAAAAATAGGATCCTGAATTTAATTAAAATTGTACAAAAAAAAAGTATATTAAGATATTAAAATTAACTATATATTTGATTCATATCTACAAATTGTCAAATTAGACATGCAAAATGCTTATATTATTTCCCAGCTCAAAACCAAGAACAGGAAATCAAATTTTATTCGAGAATGTCGTTTTTTAGTCCAACAAACTTACTAATTTGATACTACCTAAAAATGCTTTTTTTTTTTTTTTAAGAAGAAAACAAAGTGGCTAGTAGGTGTTGATACGATGATATAATTTATTGATAGGTAATAAGTTAATAACAGACAAACCAATCCCACACACCTATTAATTAAATGTGCGACCTTTCATGTGAGATGAGGAAGAAGAAATAAGTTGTTTCATTTGCATTTTTTAGTCAAAAAGTCTTATATATTAATTATTAAAGAAGTGAAGTCATGTACCCACAATATTATTTTGCTTAAATACAATTACTTTACCGCATTAGACACTTTGTTTTTCAAGTCATGTAATCATAATATTATCGTGGTTTAGGGTGTACTATTTTCTATTGGTGAGTGACCCTAAAAAAAAATAATAAAAAATATAAAAAAAGGTTAATTTAGAAAATATTTTACAGACAGTTGTCAAAAATCAAAAAATAAAAATAAAGAAAACATTTTAAATGAAATTTTTTTTTTAGAAAATATTTTACAAATAAAACATTAGGTCTCGACAAATGAACCCTAGATGTAGATACAGGAAATTATGCTCTGTTTTTGTAATATCATTTTAATATGCCATTTTATCTAAGATTAAAATATTTATATTTGATCTAGATTAAACTGATATCCATTTTGAAATTGCAATTGAATATATAAATTTGAATAACCATAATAAGAAAAGGTAGTGTAAAAAAAGTATACTAATAAATGCATGTTATGTTAGCATAGTAGTAATGTTGATGCCCATCTATAAATATTAAAATAAAACTTTTAAGAATATAAAAATTACTGAAATATCTCTAATTATATAATTAGACGTATCGTGCATGACACATGTGACATGTATGCTTCATGTGTGTCTGAGAATGATTGCATATATACATATATATATATATATATATATAGACAAGTGTCTGCTGATTGAATATGTATGCATGCAGCCCATCCAGATTTTACTCTCTCGTGGGCTCCTCGATCCTCAAACAAACCAGCCCATCTCCTTAGTCAATGGGCTTTGAGGAACAGGTGCCCACTTATAGCTTATTTCTGCCACTGATTCTTATTTTAGTAATTATAAGGTAAGTGTTGAGCATACCTTATCGTTAAACAAAGCTTGCACAAGGGTAGACGTGTTGCAGTCCCTAGTTGTCGACTTCTTCATATTGACATAGAAACTTCTGAAATTGGGTAGATCCTTCAACTCTATTTCCTTTAAATGGTCAAAAACAATAACTTCATCCATGACTTCCTGGTCATCTCTGACTATTTCCTCCATGATTTCACAATTTCTTACACTTAATTTTTGGAGTTGTGAAAGACTTCTTGCAGCGGCTGAGGAAAAGAGATATATCATTAATTTACAGTTTTCAACTTTTAACAAACTTAATTCACGAAATGAAACAGATCCGCATAGTCCCTTAGGAACATTCTCTCTCAAGTCTTCCAAATACAGTACTTCAGCTTTCTCCATCAAAATGTTAAGCTCCTTCTTCAAAGGGAAACCCACTACTTTCAATATCCTTGTTGCTGATGAAGGTCGCTCCCAAATACTAAGCTTGCTCCCAATGGATATTTGAAATCTGTTCAACGACTTAAACAGGGGCTCAAAAACTTGTAAACTGATTATGTGGTTCAATGAGTTTAGTTCATTAAGACTTGCATTGTCTTTAACCTCCCATTGGTCAAACTCATTTGGAATGTACAATTCCTCAAGTTGGGATAGACTTGATATGACACCTGAGGGAATGATCATGAGCTTGTCACAGTCCCTCAGATCCAACAACCGCAAGCGAGTCAACTGGCCTATTTCTGGAGCCAGTTCTCTGAGATCAGAATCTTTAATGCATAGTATCTCAAGTTTTTTAAATTCCTTGAGAAAAGCTACCTTCACCAATTTGCAGTTGTATAGACATAACATCCTAAGATTTTTAAGTGACGACGGTAGTTCCGAAATCTGCATGTCACGCAATTGTAAAACTTCAAGCTTTTCCATCCCTTTAAAAAAGTTACTTGGAACTTCTGATGAAAGATTGTGGAATTCCAACATTAAGGTGTGTAGTTCTGAACATTCTAAATCATTGGGAAGCACACAATCATTATTGAACCTTAATGAGATTGCTTTGCATTGTTTATATTCATCCTCATCTGGCCAAAACCTGACACCATCTTTCACTAGAAACTTGGTATCTTCCTCTTTTGATGCAATCCAAATGGCGAAATCTCGAGTGACATCGTGCATTTTCACCAAGTCTTTCTCACTACCGTCTAATAACAAAGAGGATGTCTTGAGCGTCGTGACCAACACATGTGCTCTATTCCTTGCTTCTTCCATTGTATCCACGCCTTGGAGAAGCCTCAATCCAACTCCATACCTTACCAAGTTATCAATGGAAATCTCAACATCTTCTCCGAACAAACAACAAAGCAAAAAAATTGATTTCGCATCAGCATGCTCCAGGTTGTTGTAGCTAAACTCTATGGGTGAATAGACTTTTGTGCTCCATCTTGGAATGTTCTTTGCGGTGGAATTTCTCAATTGTTGAAGTGCATCTTTCCATTCCCTCTTACTCTTCTTCATTAGTGCTCCTCCAACTGCAAGTATTACCAATGGCAAACATGCACATTCTTCACACACCGCTTCCGCTACAGAACGCATGTCAGCTTTGATGGAATCTCCAACCTTCTTCTCGAACAGGGACCATGCTTCATCTTTCAATAAGACTCCAATTTGGAAGTTCACATTTTCAGGAACCCCCATTGCTTCGCACGCATCTGGTTGCCGAGAGGTCAACAGAATTTTGCAACCTTTGGTTTGATCATCTATAGTCGGAAATCCTATGTCCTCCAATTTAGTTTGACCATTCCAAACATCATCGACCAATACAAGGATCTTTTTACCATTTTTCAATCTTTTGAGCAACAGTTCCTTCCTTGCATCTTCAGTCTTTTTATCTAAAGTCAGATTCAAACCCTCTGCAAGTTTTTCTTGAATTTCTATCACATTAGGATTCTAGGTGAAAACTATCTCGACGATCTCATCAAAAAGATTATGCTTTTCGGCTTGTTGGGTAACTTCTTTCGTCATCCTAGTCTTTCCAACACCAGGCATTCCATATATTCCAATCTTGTAAGTCCCGTCATCTTTTAGTGCCTTCATAATCTCTTTAAAAACCAACTCCCTGGATTGAAAACTCACATAGCTTGTGCTGTAACTTCTGTGCCAAATACGAGTTAGACGACGTCGGTGTCCAACAGAATCAAATTTGCCGGCGGCCTCTATAAGCTTGGTAACATCAGGCGTCTTCTTTTTCCCTTCCTTACCCAACCGGTAACGTGAGCAAACATCAAGACACTTGAGATTATCTTTGCCTTGGAGTAACCTGATCTTGTCTTGTTCCAGCGTCGGCAATAAGTTCCCCACTTCCGTCAGCCATTTCGAAACTTCCTCGTAAATGTCTTCAGCATTGTCCCTGGCTTTATCGACCTCTGTCTGGACCCTTGTATGGGCATTTTTGAGATTGGCAACTTCATCTGCGAAATCCCGAATGTTTTTCTCGCAGTGAATCATGTAACCATAGTGACGACTGATGACTGCGTACAAGCTGTCTCTGATGGGCTCCAATATCGTTCCCGCAACATTAATAGCAATACCCTCCGCCATTTTTAACTCACCAGCAACAACCTTTAATTTATTTCTTTCTATTTTCTCTCTCTAAGCAGACAGGTGCAATACAGAATACAAAGGAAAGCTACGACTTTTTTTTTTTCTTTTTTTTTTTTTGGGAAAAAGGAAAAAGGTAAGAAATTAAAGGAAGAGACTTCAAGACAAATACACAGTTTGATTTTGGATTAACGACAAACAAAAGTGAAAGATTTTCTTTTTTCTTTATAGGTAATGAAAAGTGAAGATTCACAAGGAGACACTGGAGAGATACAAATTGAGGTGTAAGAGAGCCTAATTCAAATTTAACAGAAAAACTAAGGGACAGAATGTGGGAAATTGAAGACACTGAAGGGAAAAAAAGAAGCAGATGATGCAATACAAAGGAAATGGAAGTAATAGAAACTAATACACGAAGCTAAAAGACAGTTGTTGTTGAGGAAACTAAAAATGAGATTTTTTTTGAATTTTTTTTCGGAAGGAAAAGTGAAGATTCACAAGAATTTTTTTATTTTTATTTTTTATTTTTGGGATAAGGAAAAAGCTAAGAAATTAAAGGAAGAGACTTCAAGACAAATACACAGAGTTTGATTTTTGAATTAATGACAAACAAAAGTAAAAGATTTTCTTTTTTTTCTTTTAGGGAATGAAAAGTGAAGATTCACAAGGAGACACTCGAGAGAGATACAAATTGAAGACACGAAGGGAAAAAAAGAAGCAGCAGATGATGCAATACAAAGGAAATGGAAGTAATAGAAACTAATACACGAAGCTAAAAGACAGTTGTTGTTGAGGAAACTAAAAATGAGATTTAAACATACCTCTGACTTATGCCAATCTTGTCCGGATAATGCAAGCTATATATATCCCAAATCCAAATGCACCAATTGACTCTGATTTTCAGTGACAGACAGATCGAACCAGAGAAATCAAATAGATGATCGGAAAGTGAAGATTCAGTAGATGGACGATGGTGAGACTGTGAGATGAGTAAGAGGGATCAGATATGGACGGATTGCAGATAGAGAGAGAGAGAGAGGAATGCAAATTCAGATGTGAGAGAGAGATAGACTCATCATCAGCAGGAAAAGTAAAATGATAAGTAATTATTGATTAGAACCACAAAAAGAAAAAAATTAAATAAATAAATAAAAAGAAGAAAAAGAGATTTTTCATTGTCAGTCATCATCACACTGTACGATTTGATATGGTGCTGGCAAAGTTACCTAAAGCCCAAATAAAGTGCATGAAATTTTACTACTAGTAGTATTCTACGTACAACCCTAAATTTTAAATTAATAATAATACTAACTCCTTCTTGCATAATAACTTAAATTTACAGTTTTTAACTCTAGAGTATGAATTTTTTTTAAAAATCATGTAATTCTTGAAAATATAATTTTGATTTTGTTTTTAAAATTGGTAAAACTGAATAATAGTTTTGATGAAAAATTAGGACGTAGTAATCTAAAATGCAGTTCAGAATAACAGTAGCTCTAAATATGAATAGTAAATGGAGTTTAATACCTAAAATCTAAAACTAAAATATGAATATAAAATTCTAATTGCTATAGTGACTCATGTGTCAATCAAATTTGGATAGTGGAATATTTTTCCCTAAAGGATTTCAATAAAATAGAATTTCATTGTGCAACTTTGGATCCTAAATGAGAATAATTACTCTTTAATTTTTTTTGAATCACTCTAAGAGAATCTTTATAATTATTTGGAACATTAGAACAAAAGTCTTGCATATTCTCAAAATAAATTATAAAGTGCTCTAAGACAAATAAAATCCACACCATTGTTATTTTTTTTTAAAATAAATAAATTATATAACGTATTTTTTTTTTTTTTTAGAGAAACAAATCTAACAATAAGTAATGTTCTCAAGAGAGTTATCCCATCATGAATTCTCCAATTCAACTAATTTTAAAATATATTAAATAATTTATTTAAATTTTTACACATGATTAAATATGAGTTAATTAAGATAAAATTACTCACATTCAAATATTTAACTTTCAAAATATCATATTCAGTTTACAATTATGCTCATGTGTGTGAGTCACAATTCTGACATCTATTTTGAGTAACTACCTTATAATAAAATGTAAGATTAAGACAAATATTTTTTGAATCTTGTGATTCATTTTTCGTGATAAAATGTGACTCATAGCGCACTTATTACAAGTATTGCAAAATAAATCATTGGCTTTATTTTGCAATACTTTACGAGACAAATAATTTATTCTCGTAAAGTAAAGAATTTATATATACTCTTGTTATTAGATATAAAATTTAAACCCAAACTTTCATATGCATGCTTACAAAATTAAATATAAATTTAAAAATCAAGAAGATAATATATTTTATTAGCTTTTTATAGAATAATTAAAAAAATTTGTACTAAAATCATGTATTTTACAAAAGAATTTTTTTATTAAATTTAAATTAAATTAATTATTATATAAATTCATAAAGCAATTTTATTAAATAACTAAAACATAGCCAACAAGAATTCAAATAAAGATAAAAGGGAATTGAGATTTATTCGAGTAATGTAATAAGAGATTTTTAGAAACAGATTGGAGTTTTATATATAAAAAATTAAAAGTAGTAGAGTTTTATGATTTTAGCCTTTAAAAAATGAATTTACTAATTTTGTGTTTGACGGCATGGAATTTAAAAAAAAAAAAAAAATTTGGTTCAATATTTTGAGTTATTTATTTATTAATTTTTAATTTTATCAATTTCAATACCAATTTCAAAATTTTAATTATATGCCTGCCAAATATAGTGGTAGAGTAATTAAATTCGCTTAGTCACTAAGAAAAATAAAAGATAATAATTGAAATATTAAGGAGAAAAAATTCGTAATCTTGGTGGGTCCTATGAATATGATATTTTCATGTCATGACTGTATTATTAAAGGTTGAAAAGGAAATGACTTGATTAATACTCTAATAATTCAATTGAAGAGGTGGGCGTATGTAACATTGCTTTTAGTATGTTGTGTGTTGTGGTCGGTCTGGTACTTCAATAAGAGGATAAGGTTTTGAAATCCAAGCCAAATGGGAATGGCACTGATAGAATTAAGAATATTTTTCTCTCTAAATAAAAGCTCACCTAATTTTTCAAGAAAAAGTAGATGGGATTAGTTGAGAAAGCTATCAGTATCACATATAAATGTATGTATGTGTCTCTCTGTGAAAACAAAAATGGTACTAGTAGCATGATACTGCAATCACCCATAAAGATTGGAAAAGAAATGTTGGTGGCAAGTTCCATTATAATGTGACGGTTGGGTTCGGTCACTAGATAAAGTTTTGCGATTTAAAATCAAATGCACCAAATATATATATATATATATATATATATATATATATATATATATATAGAGTAATGATCTCTTGCTCCCTATGGAGCAAGAAAATTCATCCGTACTTTTTATAGTGATCATTTGATCTAATCTAACGATTATTATAGAAACCTCCTTACATCATTTCCTTTTAATATAAAACCCTTGTTACTATTTATAATTTCTAAATTTAATATTTACATACCACTAATTACAATAATAAAAGGCAATTACTCCCAAAAAAAATTGAAACCTCTTCTTCTATGGAAATCACGTCTCTCTCAAACAAAAAATTACAAGAGACAAGAAAAAATAATAATAAAAAAAGATATTTTAATCCATTAAATTTTAATTATGATTCATTTTTATTTACTTATGATTATAAGAAGACAAAGGCGGTAGAGAACTTGCAAATTCAATTTGTATGGAGAAAGAGAAAGTACTAAATTCAATTTGTATGGAGAAAGAAAAAGTACTCTTGTAGGTCTTTGTTTGAAAGAGACGTTATTTTCAGAGGTGAAGAGTTTTCTATATATATATTTTTGAATAATTACCTTTTATTATTGTAATTAGTGGTTTGGTAAATGTTAAATTTGGAAAATAGAAATAGTGATACTGGTTTTGTATTAAAAGGAAAGAATATAGGTGGGTTTTATAGTGAACGTTAGATTAGATCTAATGGTCTCAATAGAAAGTGCGGATAAATTTTCTTGCTCCATGGGGAGCAAGAGATCATTACTCTATATATATATATATATATATATATATATATATATTGTGCATAATTTACTCTAACAAACTAATAGGTTTGGTTTGGTTTGATTTGAAAGAATTAATGAGAAAAGAAAATAAATAGAAACTTTTGAAACTTTTTTAGAATTTGGTTTAAATAAATAAATAAATAAATAAAAAAAGTTATGAAAAATTAGGATTCTCACACCTCTTAATTTTTTTTCAAAATATTTTCTGCACAAAACAAGCAAAAATAAAATTTTTTGGGTGAAATTAGCGTTTCATTAATTTGCATTCCTATTTCACCCAATAACTTCATTAATATTATTTTATAACCAAAAACAACAATTTTTTTACTGATTTAAAAGAATTACAGTCCAACAACAACTTTATCATATTACAAAAATAAAAAAAAATAAAAAACTTTATCATTGATATAATTTTAATTAACTTCAGTTCCATTCCTAATTGTTTCCCAACATATATAAAAATGAAACAAATAGTACCTTTTTTTTTTTTGGCTGGCACCAAAACTCACCTGGTCAGAGCCCCTTCGAGACCCACCTCAGACTACAAACCTGGAATGCTGTCGACGACTCCACATCTCAGCAACAATTTCAATCGAACACTATAATGGCGATTGACGGATTTGAACCTGGGATATGAGGACGTTCAGGTCGTGACCTTACCAACTTGGTCTAGCCCCCGAGATAACAAATAATACTTTATAAAGTCTAAATTAATTGAAAACTCCATAATTATTTTTATGTACACCGCTACTATTTAATTCTTTATTATTCAACTATTTATATCTCTTTATACATGATCGAGACACACTGAAATATAAAAGATCATTCTTATGATTTCTTTACCATATGATTCCTTTCTTATATTTATGACGGTATCAGAGCATTGAATCATGTACTGAATCACATGCCTCCGAATCATATGAATTAATAATGTAATTTTATTAAATAACTAAAACATAACCAACAAGAATTCAAATAAAGATAAAGGCATAAAAGGGAATTGAAAATTATTGGAGTAATGATAATTTTGTAATAGTGTTGGAGATTTTAGAAAGATGTTGGAATTTTATGATAAAAAATTAAAAGCAGTGGGAGTTTTATGATTTTAGACCTTAAAAAATGAATTTATGTATGTTGTGTTTGGTGGCATGGAATTAAAAAAAAAAATAGTTTCATTTTTAAATTACTTCTCTCTAATTTCAATATCAATTCCCAAATTTCAATTACATGTCAGTCAAAGATGGCAGTAGAGTATTTAAATTCGCTTGGTCACTCTTGAAATATCAAGAAGATAAAATGAGTGATCACAGTTATCCTATGAGTATGACATTATAATGTCATGCCATTGTATTATTAAAGATTGAAAAGGAAATGACTTGATTAACACTATAATAATTCAATAAGGGAGTAATTTATAGATAGAAGTTTTCAGTTGAGAACATAAGCCTATGTACCATTACTCTTAATAATTGAGGAGTAAAAAGTTTTAGTATTTTGTACGGCATCGATTTGGTCACTTAATAAATGGATAAGGTTTTGGAATGAATGATTTTATCAAAACGTATTCCCTTTTCGAATTTTCTAAAGAAAAATAAAATAAAAATTATCTTAATTTGATATAAAAGTCTCACATAACTAAATTAGCCAGTTTGACATGAATTATCAAATAGATTCTGAATTCTATTATGAAAAACAAGATAATTCATTAATAACTAGACATATAATCAAAAACTAAAACTAAAGAGGAGTGTAAAATGACAAAATTTAAATCACACTAAAATATGGAGTATAATTGGAATAAGCAGTAGTTTAGAGATTGATATATACATTTTGTCATTTTCCCCTTCTCCTTTTTCTTGTCCCTTACTTTCTTTAAATATTTTCGAAACTCCCCGATGAACAATCACTGGATTCCATAATAATAATTACCATATTTCAACGCTGCATCCTACCGTCACAAATCTTTAATTTTTTT